CGGAGGAACCCGCTAGAATGCTGAAGAGTTCCTTCGCCACAACGAGCCGCACATTCAGCACAGAGTCGTGTCCGAGGTGATCGAGCAGCGGCAGCAGAATAGATTCCTTGTCGACGCCAAGCCGCACGGCGATGCGCAACAGCGAGCTCCTGCTGAGGTACGTCGCCATCGCCTTGGGGGAGCCAACAATGAGCGGCCAGAGCGTGTCGTTGATAAACACATCATCGTCACTGGTGCTGCTGTGTCGTTGGCGGATGCCGCCACTGCCTTCTCCGCCCAAGCCGCCAACACCAACACCAGCAACACCGCCACTGCCGCAGGCATTGCCGTTTGTTGAGGCGGCCTGCAGTTGCAGGCGCGCTGCGGAGAGCCGATTGCACATCTGCACCAGTGACTCCAGCGCGCTGTCCCGCACTGCCTTCACCTTGTCGAAGAGCACATCGACAAGCAGTGGTAGCAGCCCATCCTTCGCGAAGCGATGCAGGGGGTTGACGCCGTCCTCCGCCATCACGACGCCACTCGGCCGTCCGCCAGCAACGCTGCTTTCACGCACACTCGCCTCAAGCGTGTGAACCTCATGCGACGCCTGCGAGACGGCCTCCGCCGCCGCGAGTGAGTTGGGGGCGAGGAACTTCACGCACATCTCCGACAGGAGCCGCGCGTAGCGCTCACGGTAGCGCCATACCTCGTGGCGTGCGAGAGTCTGCAGGCACACAACGAGCGCGCTCTCACGGACGTGCGCCGCATCGCATTGCCTGTTGGCGTGGCGGCTTCCGCTGCCGCCCATTGTCGCTGCAAGCCGCCCCGCTTCCGCCGCGCTGCTGGTAAGTAGAGCGGCCAACTCTGACACAAGCGTCAGCTGCACCGTTGCGCTGCTGTCATTCAGCAACGTCATGAGCGACGCCGTGGTGCGGTCAAGGTAGCGCAGCCACGTCGCCTTGCCGAGGTCACGCACGTGCAGATCGCAGGCGGTGATCATTGTGCTCAGTGTGCGGGCGAGCGCTGAGAGACCGGCGGCGGCCCCCGCGCGCACCCGCTCCTCCGGGTCTTGCAGCACAGTCTCGCAGCACCGCAGAACGGCCTCCAACAGCGGCGGCAGATACTGTAGGAGAGCCTTGTCGGACAGTAGCGCATCTCCACCACCACCAGGTTTATTGATGTTATACTTATTGCTGTTGGGATCGACGTAACGGCCACGCGATTGCGTGGCATCTCCGCACATCTGCGTCTTTGCGTAGGGGCCGTGGCACAGATCCACAACAACACCGTGTGGGAACACGAGGCGGAACATGCCTTGTCCAAGCGCCCGAAACACACCAGCCGCACACACCGCCACGACCGTACGCACCTCTTCCTCGTCGTCGTGCACCAACTCCATCATGTTTCCCTCTCCCTCCTCCTGCCGCTGCGGTCTCGCCTCTTCTTCCTCCGATGACGATGTCCACTGCGAAACATGCAGATTACACAGGAACGCCACACATGTCTCCACCAGCACTCGTCCGTCGCTGGCGTCGTGACTTCCGACGCGGTGCAGCAGCTCCGCCAGTGACGCAGTCAGCGATGGCAGGCGCTGTGTCGTCAACCAACGCGTCTTCCACGATGGTAGCGCGACCATCTGCACAACGCAGTCGCCATACAGTCTACAGAGTCGCAGGAGCCGTGCCTTCTTCTCTGTCATCGCGAGCCGCGAGCTGCGCTCTCTTCGCTGCAGGAAGTCCTCAATGGTATTAGGGCGCAGTAGCTCATCCAACAGATGCTGCACGCCGTCGAGAAACGCCTCGGCGACGCCAAAGTCGTGGCAGACGTCACTCTCCAACAGCAATGCGACATCACCTGCAGAGGCATTGCCTGCACTGGACTCCTTTTTCCCCCACTTACTCCCGCCAGAGTTTCGCTCCGCGGCAGAGAGCATGGGGGCGGTGAGGGCCCGCGAAAAGACATCGCACACATCATAGAAGCTCAATCCCCCCAGCAACTCTGTTTCGGCTGTTGCGCTTCCCGGCGCGGTGGCGCTTGCCCAATCTATGAACTGCGGCAGAGCGCGAAGCAAGCTCATACGTACTACACGGTGCATGGCAGGTGCACGACCGCCCGTACAGAGACTCCATGCCTCGCGCTCCACCACGCCGAGGCCACCACAGCCGAGCGTGACACATCCATGACGATCCGACGCACCTGAACCAGGCGGAAACGCCGCGGTCACTGCCGCTGCGCCCTCAGAGAGCAAATGATGATCGACCAGAAGCATTATCAGGTCTTCACAGGGTTTCTCAGAACCGCTGCAAATAGCACGACCCACATGACTACGCGTCGCGGTGAACGTGAACACCACCAGCTCCTCTGTGGAGCGCAGAAACGGCGTGGCGGACGGCTTTTCTTGCTGCCGCTCCGCGCGTTCGACCCACGTGATGCATGAGAACACGTTGCCTATACACTCCACTGCCGCACTCACCGTGGCGGGGTACTCCGACTTTAGCATAGACTCCATTAATCCAACAAAAAGGCCCCAGCGGGCACGGAACGCCTCGCGACGGTCGCGGCGGTCAGAGTACTCATGCCGCAACATCGTCTTGCCACACGACGCCATCAGAGGCTCTGCCCCACTGTCCGTCTCACCACCGTCCGTGGTGATGTCACGAAGGTAGGTCGCTATGGCGCTGCGCAGGCGGTTAGCGTAGAGGTTGATACGAAAAGGGTCCCACGCATTATCAGACGCCTTGTTGCCGGTGCTGCTGCTACTACTAGTGCTGCCTCCGCCCATACCTCTGCTCCCGCTGCTCATGCGTCGCCCCCCAGCTCCAGAGGCATCGCCACCGTTGGCGTAGTTGTTATTGGCGTCAAAGGTAATGCGTGGCTCCTCGCCTGTCTCCCCGTCGCAGGAGCGCACATTGAGGTACTTCTCCCTCCAGTCACGCAAGTCAAGACTGCGTTCCAGCGGGACACCGAAGAACAGCATTGGAATGACTACCTCGACAAGGAAGAGGCGCACACCAGCGTCAGTGGAGGCGCCGATGCGCACTAAAACGGGCAACAGGTTCTTGAGCGAGAGTGGACGACCTCCGTCAGTGAAGAGCTTCTCCACACGCGTGGCGCACGTAAATGTCGATGTTGAAAAGTCAATGAGTGTCATGCCAACCGCAAAGCTCAGCTCCGCATCCTCCTCCTCAACACACCGCAGTACATAGGGGACAATTTCGGTCTTGGCCCACTGCGGCCCCATTGCCTGCGCGAGGGTCGGCAGGCGTCGCACCGCCTCGTAGCGTGCCTGCTTCCGTTCTTGTGGTTCCTCGTCGAGTTCCTCCACTGCACCGGCCGTGAGCGGTGCGTCGTCGCGCTGGAGAAACAACGCCTCCCCAGTAAATTCACCAGAAATGTTGCTGCCCTGCGCAGCACCGGTAGCAGCAACATCAACCTCGGTAGGGGCTGCGGGGGGCAGCGGCCAGTGGATGAGGTCCTCCACGACGGAAAGGGCTACAGTGTTGTTGTCCATTGTGCCGATATTGTTTTTTTTTTACTTCTGAATGTATCGTTTTCCCTCTAGTTTTGTTTTGCCTGTGTTTGTGCGTGCGTGCGTGTCGGTGCTTGGCTTCCCCTATGTTGCTGCGAGCGCGTGTGATGCAAGAGGCTGTGCAAACACATACAAATAGAAGACAAATAAGAATGCACACACATATATATATATATATATATACAGATAGATGTATATACCCTCCTTCCTGCATAGTTGAAGCTGTCTGTGCATTCAGAGTGGGCCACAACGGCAGCGGCACTTAATCGCGTAGAGAATTAGCAGCAGGAAATATATATATATATATATATATA